AAAGTTTGCCCAGGAGCAGGCACCTGGAGCCCGGAGGCGCAGGTGATGTGCAGGGAGAGTGGATGGAAGGATTCTCCCTCCTCCCTTCTCGCTCCACCGGGTTCCCTTTCTCTTTGTCCATTTGGCCCTGAAAAGGGGAGACACTCCCCTTTGGGGTCCCAGACAGTCTTCTACCCAGCCCGGGGCAGAGCGACTGCGGGCACTGATGGGGTCCGCCTGTCCACCTGGGAACTGGTTCAGGCCTCCAGAGACTTCTAGAATAGCTAATTCCGAGTTCCTCCGGGTACATATTCGCCCCTCCCACGAGTCTTCTAGTGTGGGCATGCGAACCTCGAAAGTTAGTGCTGTGTGTGTGTGTGTGTGTGTGTGTGTGTGTGTGTGTGTGTGTGTGTGTTTTGCTGGGGGGCTTGTTTTGTTTTGTTTTGTTTTTTGTCTAGGTCCCCCCCCGGGGGGAGCAGAATCCAATCGAACTCCCAGAAGGGTTTGGGGTCAGCGAACCAGAGCTGTAATAAACTTGCACTGTCTATGCTCTGAGCTTTGCGCTGGTTTGCAAAGAACATCCCCCATTCCTGTCCATACCTCAGCCCATTCTCTAGCCTTAATAAGGGGAGCCAGGAATGCTTAAGGTATCGTTTTTCGCGTCCACGCAAATGCCCTTTTAAGAGTCATTAGCTGTCTGGTTTTGCGTTTTTATTCCTTTGAAGTCTCCATCTAATCCTTTGAAGGGTTTTGTTAACACAAGACCAAAGGAGCTGGCTAATGACTTGTCCATTTGTGCTTGTAAGCAGCATTTGTTTTGGTGGCTTTTTTTTTTCCTTTTCCTGCTTTAAAAGAATTGTGCCTTCCTGCTGAAGTTTCCCTACTCACCCCCCCCCACCTTCAATTTCAGCCTTCTGTGGTGTTTATTTACCTGGGTTTTACCCTCAGTCAGCAGCATAAAAACCCAGCATGTTCTCATAAAACACAGGAAGTCCCACGATCCAGCGAGAATATAAACATCACTCTTCAGTCTTGAAGGTTAAGACACCAGCTCCGAAAGGAGCTAGGTTTGTTGACATAAAGACCAGCTTCCTCAAAATCTCAGGAGAAAAATAACAACCCTTTAAAAAGCAAGTCGGTGTCTATAGTTTGTTCTCTTTTAAAAATAAACTTAGCATTACCTCTGAGCTCTGAGTTTTCAGAGATTGGACAAGACATGATACTCAACGTAAGAGAGTCAGACAGACAAACTGGTGTTTACTGATTTCCTATCTGCACAGCCAAGCCGCTCATCCCTTATTAGAAGTTGAATCTACAGAGTTCAACTCCTTTTTTTTTTTAAAAAAGGATTTTATTGTTAAGTATGTGCACATGTGTGTGTGTGTGCACCTATGTGCAGGTGCTGCGCCCCCCCCCCCCCCCGACCCCTTGCAGGCCAGAGTTGCTGGATCCCCTAGAGCTGGAGTTACAGGTGGTTGTGAGCTACCCATTTTGGGTGCAGACTCTAACTTGGGTTCTCTGAAAGAGCAGAAAACACCCTTTGGAAAGTAAGTTTTCTTTCCAAAGTTTGTGCCTTTTTACCCCCCTTGAGACTAGAGAACAGAAAGGTATCTCAAGGCTGTAATAGTGAGCAAGAGGCCCACTGATAGTCTGCAATATGTGCCCAGTGAAGGCAGGCTGTCATTGAAGATGGACAAGCCAGGTGGAAACAGAACATTTCCCCCCCACTTCCTAGGAAATTGTTGAGAAATTTTTCTGGAAATCAAAGCTATAGAGGTACTCTGATATTTAGGATAGGCTGGTGGAAGAAAGTCAAATATTAACTTAAGGTGAATCTCATTCAGTCTTTCACTTACATTGTTCACCAGAGATAATGTCACATCATCGTTAATTATGGAAAGACAGATGGAGTTGGGATCTTGTCCTGCCCTTATCTGCTCTCCGACCATCATGTCTTTTTCTGTTGCTACTCACTCACCTTCTAGATGCCTCACTGTGTGCTTGCTCAAAGCCAGCTTGGGTCTTTACCACCACATCTCCAAGTACAGATCGGCCCTTGCGTAGGCGCACGAAAAAGTGGCATGTACACAGGGAGCCAGAGTTCATGAACATAGATTTCTTCTACCACGCAATTGGGGATCCCTCCTGCCTCCCTGCAGGTCATTTTAATTCTGGGGAGTTCTATTCCAGATAAGTGCAAATTCTTCTCTTTCAAAGTTAGCTGGTAATAGCATTGCATCTAGCATGCTGGAGGTTCTGTGCTTGCTCATGAAAGCCCAAAGAAAGGCCATGAGCAATGCAGTGAGAAGAGAGTTGATTCTGAATTGATGTGCTTGAATAAACCAAGGACCTTAGTTAACTTTCAGGTGGGATGGAAACCCTTACATATACCCCATAGAAACAGATTCTAACATATTATTAAAATTATTTAAGATCTGAACCCATCTCACCCATAGTCCTATATTCACAAGAGGCTGAGGCAGATGAATGGAAAGTTCCAACCCAGCCTGGGCAGTTTAATGAGATCTTGTCTTAAAATTTTTGAAGGAGGGAAAGGGTTTGTAAGCTGCCTCAACTGCTAAAGGTGATTGCTACTAAGCCTGACAACCTGAGTTTGATCCCCAGACTCCACAGGGTGGAAAGGGAGAACGGACTCCTGAAAGCTGTCGGCTTCCTGGGGGCATCTCCCTTATGTGTACATACCCTCATGCAGATGTACAATTAAAAATAATAAGTTTTAAAACAATACAAACACAAAGAGCTGAGAAATAAATCTCTGTGGTGGAGTACTTGTCTCACCTGAGTAGGGACCTGGTTTGGTCTTTAGCACTGAAAAAAACCAACAACAACAAAAAAAAAACCCAAGACTTGATTTGGTTGTTTTGTTTTCTTCAAAGTTCCTGGCTCTAAAAGAAGATGATTTTATGTTTTATGCAAAAAGGTGAATTTAGTGCCAGCATTTAGCTAAATATTTACAGTGGATGCTTAATGGTATGAAGGTGTTGGAATGTCCAATAAACACTCCTTCTCCAAGTCTCACTGTCCCTAATTATAATGGGGCTGCATTTCATGGGTACAGGCCAATTAGGCCACAAAGTCTCTTGGTAAAAGTGCCAAATAAAAGTAAGAGGCACAGGCTTATCCACCCAAGGTACCCAAGAGAACCCCATTGGGCATTTCACAGTAAGAATGAAATCCAATTTTTAAAATAAAAAAACTAGATATGTTTTTTTGAAAAAAAAATAGTGTTTTATTAACTACCACACTGTTATAATACACTTTTAACGTACAATAAGGTAGCCTTTAAATCTGAGGTGGTCTTAAAGATAACAAATGAACAGAATCCAACTTCTTGAAATAGGTGAACTGCTGCAGTTATAGGTACATTTAGGAAAATTGTAGAGCTCTTAAAAAACTAGATATTTTTTACATGTTGGTTTTATTTGAATAAAGTTCCCAGAGAGCATCCGTTACTTATTACAAATCAGCAAGTGTTAAGTTGTGCCTGTCTCCTATTTGATGTTACAATCTGTTCTTTCATACACATTTCTTCTCAGAAAAGTTATTTCTTATCTGTAAAACAGAAATATTTAGGTTCCAGGAAGGTAAAGCAAGCAGAGGCCCTATGTATGACTTTGAAACAATTTTACATTTGTGTGTGTGTGTGTGTGTGTGTGTGTGTGTGTGTGTGAGAGAGAGAGAGAGAGAGAGAGAGAGAGAGAGAGAGAGAGAGAGAGAGAGAGAGAGAGAGAGAGAGGCTGTATGCATGGGTTGACATGTAGAAGTCAGAGGACAACCTGCTGGAATTCTCTTTCCTTCCACTCTGTGGGCCCTGGGAGCCACATCAGATCACCAGGAGTGACAGCAAGCACCCTTGTCTCCAAAGCCATCTTTTAAATAAAAGAACACATCCCTCAGGCTCACTGTGAACAAACTGCCTGGATGGAGATTTTTCTATCAATATCATTGCCTTTCATTCTCTTTAAGACCATTGTTTGTCCCTTCTCCACTTTTTTTTTTAACTAATTTAACTTTATTCAAAAACACTTTTACTATTGTTAGGAAAAAAAAGTGTGTGTATAAAGAAAAATCTAGTTGATGCCCTCTATCTGTATAACAACAGCCTTGTATTCTAGGTACTCTTTGCCAGGATTCGTTCAGATCTAGTATTATTCTGTTGTTTTGAGACAGAGTCTAATGTGGCCCTGGGCCTCTTGCTGACGATGATGAGCTTGAAAGCCTGGTTCTCCAGCTCCCACCTCTGGATTGACTGAGATACTGAAGACTTGAACCAAGGGCTTCTGATATGTTAGACTTTCTATCTATGGAGCTTAATCTCTAGCCAAAGATTCATTCAGAAAGTAGGATGGAATGGACAGTTTCAATTGGAATAATTAGATGTTGATGGAATTTTTTAGTTTGGAAAGAGAAGGCAACCTAATATAATTTTGGTTGCTTTCTCGTTTCTTCTGTCGCTTTGATTCTGCACTGGGAAGGGCTTCAGTAGGGTAAATTCAACAGACTCTCTGTAGATTCTTAGCACACTGAGTCATCAGATGCTTTAACTGTGAGCAGCTCCTTTCGTCCCAAGTATGTTCTCTGGGATTTGGCAGTGCAAATGTCTTGGGTACCAAAGAAGAAAAGGAAGGAGAACTGGGAAGACAGAAGACAGCAGAAGAGAGAAAGTTGGAAGGAGAGATGGGGGGGGGGGGAGCAAAATGGTGCTGGAATATAGTCAGGGCTACAGCGCCACCTGCAGGTGCCTTGGACATCTTCTAGTATCCTGTCTTCGAATTTTCAAATGAAAAAGTCTCTCTCTAGCTTGCTCTGTCGCCGTCCCTCCCCGCTCCATCTTTATCTAAAGTTGACTGTGTCTCTGCAGTCTTAGATAGGGAGTCTTTTCTCCTTACAGTGCTGAGAGGAAATGGAGTGAGGTTCCCCGTTTAGCATTGAGGTGTCCAGGGGCCTTGTGCTTGTCTCTCTCCCGCGAGTTTATCCCTAATGCTTGGCTTCCTCCTCAGGGAACCAGTGGATGAGGTACTGCAGATACCCCCATCCTTGCTGACATGTGGTGGCTGCCAGCAGAACATAGGGGACCGCTACTTCCTGAAAGCCATCGACCAGTACTGGCATGAGGATTGCCTCAGCTGTGACCTCTGTGGATGCCGGCTGGGAGAGGTGGGGCGGCGCCTCTACTACAAGCTGGGACGGAAGTTGTGCAGGAGAGACTATCTCAGGTACCTTCCCCGCACTCCTGGGGCACATCTGGGTTTGAACACATGGTCTCTAGCTCCTGGTCTGGCTCTGAGGTGCCTTCCCAAGGAGACTAGGCCTTGGAGGGTGAGCCCCAGCTGCCTCTGCAGAGGGGCAGTGAGCTCTTCCTCTGCTGTGGCCAGATTTGCAGAGACACTTCCCTGTGTGGTAAATCACTAGTGCCTTTAAAGGTAAGAGAAGAACAAACACAGAATTCAGAATAAGGACAAAATTCTGGGGGGCAGACCAAAGGATAGTGTTTGGAGAAGTATACATAAGGAAATAGAATATCATGGCAAGTGGGGCTAGGGAGAGAGTTCATTCATAAGTTTCAGGGTGGGTTCTTAAGACCTCATTTTAATACTCAATAAACGTATGCATACATCTCCATATTCTTTTGTATGACTCTAATATTATTGATAAGAACTTTTAAAATAGCAATCTTTTCTTGCTGATGAGCTTCAAGCACTGAGTCTCACAGCAGGAAGATAGCATCCAGTGGCTATAAAGGATGAGGGCCCTGGAGTCAGGATGTTAGAGTCACAGCCTCATTGCTTCCTAGTGCTATGGCCTTGGCAAGCCTCTATTGGACACAAGCCTCTACTTCCTGTCTATAAAATGGGTGTAGTATTATTAGTTACTTCTAAGGTTAAGAATAATGCAAATGAAGTGCTTGACTTGGTACATGACTGAAGAAACAGATGTTAGCTGATTTTATAACTGACGTATGTCATGGTGGTATCACAAATTATTTTCCAATATAATGGACAAGAAGATGGGAACATGGAAGGGTATAATAAGAAGGCCAAGTAAGACAGGAACATTTCTGCTGACCTGGGGCATGCTCTTTTTCATGTGAGTGTCCTGGCACCAAGTGAGTGTCTGCCTGGCATGTTCTAGCATCTCTAGCTTCTCTGTTAGCTGTGCTGGAGGTACCTCTGTGCCCTATACTGTCAGATCCACTCCGCTGTTCAGCTGTCAGTTCTTTGTCATGGTGCTGTGGCAGAGGTTCTACCAAGCATGCAGCCCCAACATATTAGGACCATCTAGCCCGTGGAAGAAGCTCTTTTAGACTTCAGTGCCCGTGACTGCTGGGGTGGCTCTTCCTCCTGTATTTGTTCTCAGGGCATTGCACATGTGAAATAAAACCAAAAGTGCTAGTAATTCCACAGCTGAAGAAAGCTTATTTGGTCACCTGAAGACTGAATTAGCTTTTACACGCTTGCATCCTTTGATGGAAATTATTGCAAATATAGTGGGTTTTGGCAAAAAGAAAAGAAAGCAAGTAGGCCTGACTATAATTTTGTTGAATTTCTCTTTTTCAGTCATAAGGAAATAGAATGGAGATAAATACAGACCTGGTTTTACTCACCCCAGGTCTGCCAAATCAGTCAGAAAGCAGCTGGGTAAATGATTCCCACTGGGCCCCTGCCTCCATCCCTGTTGAATCATTTGAATCTTATTAAACGAAGTCAGATACAGTAAGGTCAAAGGAGCCGATTCCTCCCTATCTCCACGGTTTTATAGAACATTCATGAAGAAAGGCAGCACTGCCTGGGCTTGTTAATCTTTTCCATTTTCAAAAAGGAGAGGAAAAAAATAGTCTGGGAGAGCCCAGTGTTAATTAACTTGTGTCTTGGTGACACGAAATAATTCTTCTCCCTGCTACATTCCCAGGCAACATGTTAATTAACTCTGCATTAGTGCAGGCGTTCCCAGCCACCCTTTAATATTTATATTATTGTTATTAAAATGGGCAGCAGAAAGCTTAAGGCGCTGACACCTCTTGACAGAGGAGGGATTTCTTTTCTTCTCCTTCTTTATGGATGGTCCATTAGCCATGAGCTTGTTTACTTCAGTTCTTTGGCATAGCTGGTGCTGATTTAACAGGGTAAGTTCAGAATGACTCAGTAGTTCCTCCAGTGAGGTCCAGTCCCTCTCCCTAGGACAGCTACTCCCCATGAGGGTCCAGAATGGTTAACTATCTTCTATTCCTTTTGCAACTTCCAACCAAAAACATCCAGGCCCTCAGCTCAAACCTGCTACTGTTACACTGTGTTGTCAGCAGCTGGTTCTATGGGTGTCCATCCCAGATCCCCACGGATCTAGTTTTCATGATCTTTTATATAGGGCAATCCCCTCTAGCCTATGGTTATGTTTCAACAATTGGCTCTTACACCTAGCCAGCACCTGTTGTAGCCAGAAATATGCAGCCTCACCAGACCCTGGTGCCAATGACCCATACTTCAGGGGAGTCGCAAGTTCCTGCAGCTTAGAGGGAATCCAAGGCCACTTGGAGATAGGACTTATGCTTCAGGAGTCCCCAGCCATAGGGCCAAAGCTCTCTCTGAGTCTGTGCACCTGAGATCACTACTCCACCCCCTCTCCTCTTTCCCACTTCCTCTGAAGACATCATAAACCACTTGAATGTAAATGCTCGCCTGTGGTCTGCTTCTGCAATATCCACACAATACAAGCATTCTCTGAGCCAGAGGTTAAAACACACATTAAGTGTCAAGTCCTGGCTTATTTTCATTACTGTTAACATCTTGGAGTACCTGACTTAGAATAAACTGCCCAGACCTTTGCCTCTAGACATGGGCTTACAGTGTAAGACACAGAAGCCTGAAGCATGCCCTTTGCTCAAGTCACCTAGTTAGGTAGAGGTAACTCTGGGGCCAGAGCTTGTCTCCAAAATGTTAGTCCTTTGTCCTTTCATTAGCTTCCTGATGTGTTATAATTTGCTTTCTGATGGACCTTTAATAAGCTCCCTCCTTCCTTAAGGATCTCACACCTCGGGCAGTCGGATTCATTTGGTGCATACTGTTTTCTCGGTTGTGTTCTGCTCAGCTCCAAGCTTAACTTACTGAACGGTCAGGCACCAAAGCACTTTCTGCTCTGTGACCTCAAATGTGACAGTTACCTACAGCTCCACCATTGTTCCTGCAGGATAGAATGTTCTCCCCTATTGAGGAGTCTGCCTCCAGCAAAGAAAGTAGGGTCCAGAAGAGAGATGAGCTCACCCTCTACTCACAGACCCTTCTTATTGGCCATTAATTCTGGCCAAATGTTGCAAACTTTGGTAACTGTCTTTACCTCTCTTAGGATGCGCCAGTCAATTCCCTCATTTTGTAAGTTGGTAAGAACTTCTAATGAGAACAAGCATTTACGGGAAACGTCATAAAGGCCTTACGTAGAAGCTACAAGCTTGATATGCTATGTTACAAGCCCTATATGAAAATAACCCTGCAGCAGTGGTTGGGAGCACACCTGGGATGTGTTCACATAGCCAGTGTTGAGCTCAGTCTTGGATGTATGATGCTCTGACATGCCCTGGGTGTTGCACTAACATCCGAACAAGGTAACTACTAGCATGGCTCAGAGAAATCCAAGGCCAAACTTCCTTCTGGTCCTTGTCCTGGTTTCTTCTGTTCTTACAGGCAGGCTCATTTTTAAACTTTAGCCATCGTTAGCTTCATTAGCACACAGTTTGCTGAGCCTTCTCTTATGTGTCTCTATCAGGTAGAGGAATAGTTGAGAATTTGTGTTTCTAACAAGTTCCTGGATGCTGCTGATGCTGCTAGTCCCTTGACTGGCTCACGGAAAACCACTGCACTGGCTCCTGCTAAGTTGCCTCTGCCATCCCAACGCTAAATGTTCCTTGATTAAGGGCTGATGTGCCAAGGCTAAGGAGAATTTTGATTTAGGTGTGAGAAAAGTGATCTCTCCTGAGAGTCATGCTAGGGGGACAGGAGGAGAGTGAATGAAGATCTTCTGTGCATCATGGAGAGATGCTGTTTGTCCTCTGGGTCTCTGAGGCATGATTAGTGGTACTACATGTCTCCTGGGATACTCCTGTCTCCTGGCAGCTGGGGCTCCAGTGAATGGTCGTGTGGACATGGACTTTGCAACTTGAGAGAGGGGGAGGTGACTCAAGGCATACTTCCCAATGGGTGAAATTAGTGTCTGTTGATGTTGTAGAATTGGGCATCATAATGATGCCCATTTTACTGTATTCCTGGTGAGTTACCCCTTCAAGGGCTGGCTCCAGCTCCTTTTCTACAGAGAAAGTCCCTCTGGGGAGGGGACATGTACAGCATGCTTAACTTCTTCTCACAAGTCACTTCAGCTACATCTCTTCATAGCTGGTTCACACTGCCTAGAGGCATGGACAAAAAGCAGGAAGGGAGGAATAAGAGAAAAGAAAATGCCACAGTGTTACCCAGCCTACCCTCTCTGCTTTCAAGAAACCATTCATGGGCTATTATCTGGGTTCAGCTTTTCTGTTTGTTTGTTTGTTTGTTTTTATGTTGACATAGTGTATCACTGTGTATCCCAGTCCCTGCTCGGAACATATCCTCCTGCCTCAGCCTCCTGAGTACTGGGATTACAGATGTGCACCACTGTATCTGGCGAGGTCCAGCTTTTCCCAGCTGTGTGAAATCCTGATAGACAGAGCCAATCACCAATCCCTTCTGCCAGTTTTTGCTGCCCCTGTCTCTTAGCTTTTTTTTTTTCCTTTTTGCCCCAGGCTTTTTGGTCAAGATGGTCTCTGTGCTTCCTGTGACAAGCGGATCCGTGCCTATGAGATGACGATGCGAGTGAAAGACAAAGTGTATCACCTGGAGTGTTTCAAGTGTGCTGCCTGCCAGAAGCATTTCTGTGTAGGTGACAGATACCTTCTCATCAACTCCGACATAGTGTGTGAACAAGACATCTATGAGTGGACTAAGATCAATGGGATGATTTAGACCAGAGTCCCCAGCACCTTGGGGAGGTGTTCAGTGAAAACACTGTCTCAGTGGGGGTCTTCATTCTTAGGCACTTTGGGAACCTGAGGGTGGGTGAGGCATTTCTTAGGAGATTGTGGGCTCTCCTTGGGCACTAAGACATAGCATCCACATGACATAATGCAAAGGCCAAGACTTCAGCGACAAAAGGACCAGCCCTTAGAGAGAATTTATGGTCACAGACTATCCATAGTAACTGACAAGATTAGTGGAGGAAGTATTTGGGGACCAGCATGCACTGTGCCATCATGATAGGATTTCCCAGATAGGCAGTGTTGGGTATAGATTAGGTGTGACTGTGGCATTTATGGACTAGAGATGTGCAATTAATTTCTTCCTGGCTTTGGAACAACCCTATTCTAACCACTGTTCTTCACACTAGGGAAGGAAAGAGAGAGGAGAACAGTCATTCTTTTTTTCTTGGTCACCTTCCCAAGGCCTAAAGTGTTGGGGCCAGAGGAAACTGCATGGAAATACATTTCAGTTGGGAATGAAATACACATCTTTCAATCAAACAAATATTTAAAGCAATCTTGATGAATCACTGTTTTTAGACACCTTCATTTTGAGGTGAGGCACCCCCCACACACAGATTGTTTCTATACAAATGTAAATCTTAAGAAGTCAAAGTTGTTCAACTATTTTATTATCTTAGATTATATCAAAGTATTTGTTGTGTGTCATTAGAAAAACAAACCTCAATTTGGAGACTTAATAAAAATGACAAGCTAAAATGCAGTGTTGTTGATGTGAAATAACTTACAATTTGGGCTAACAGGGAAATGGTTTCCTTTTTTCCTCTTGGAAAGGTAAAGTAAATAAGCAATTTATTTCTAGGTCAAATAAAAAAGCTTCCATTTATTGCAAGGGTTTATATGAGGTTTATATAGGTTTCTGTATTACGGGCAATTATATAACAGGCCATCACATAGCTCAGAGGGATGTGGAATAATTAAGTTGTTATTGTAAAATGTGCATTTCACTTTGGCATTGTGTGGAGTGAGTGGAAGGCAGCAAGATCATTGCCTTTGGGAAACTTGTAACCTAGAAAGCACACAAATACATAAAATAGATTCCCTTTGGGAGAGAAGGTAATTACCTGGCTTGAAATGTGGCGAAGATGCTGAGCTTGACATTTCTATTTTCCAAGATGTGTGTCTCAGGGTGTTTTATGACAAGTGGTTAAGAGGACCTTACTTTGAGGATTTAAAGCCGGCACCTTAGCATCTGTGTTTGCCTGCACCCCAGAACTGGGGGGTGGGGGGTGGGGGGGTGAGCTGACTGCAAGCGCCCCCTGCTGGTCATTCTTCAACCCACCAGTCCAAGGGCGTCCCAGGGAATGACATACCTCCGTGAAGGATATACTTTCAATTATTTCATAAAACCATTGGCAAACACCAGTGGATCTAGATGTGTTTAATTATCAAGATGTCAGAAACATGCAGCTAAAGCTATGTTTAATTAACTTGACGGTGCTCTAACTTCTCTGTCACCGAAGCTTTTTTTTCTTTAATTCTAGAGAAGGAATAATGAAGTAATGTCTCTCTTGGCCTGTAAAATGCTCAAAGTGCTTGGGAGATCTGACTGCTTAAGGTGGCCTATTTAAAACGAATCCAATTATATGAAATCGGGGCCTAGGTAGCCATCAGGTGCTCCTGGGGAGGGGATGTGTGCTCTAACTCTGCAATTCTCAAACTGCAGTCCCTGAGCCAGGTTATCTGCATCACCATGAACTTGCTGGAAATAGACTCAGCGAAACTCACTGGAGGGGGGGGGGCTGCCTGTCCTGGACCGGGCTCTGGGTGCAATTCTGACTCATACTCTTAAGTCTAAAAACAGCTATTTTACATCATCTTCCAGCTAGCAGGAGTATGCGTTCTGTATTGTTAGTATTTAATATGTGACATGAAGGTTAATCACTGAGGAATTCATACATGGAGATAAACACTGCTTACCCAAGGGCCCGAGACTGTTCACTCCGCTTGTTCAGCTAACAGCTGTCTTGTTCTTCATCTAACACCATCACAATTGAGTCTAACATTTTTTTAAATCTGTATAATTCTGTTTAATTATATCTAGTTGAATATAGCAGTGAGATTCCAAGAATGGAGGATTCATATCCAAAGACTAAAATGTAAGACATTTCCACTTTACTCACAGGGCTAAACACTGTATTGGCGCATGTACAGTAAGGTACATCAAGATGAGCTGAACCTATACTTCTAACTCAGGAGAACCGAAGAGGAGACACTGTACCAGCCTTTTGTATGATGGCTCAGCCGTTAAAGGACAAATCCATTCTTAAACTGCAAGATGCCATTGCTATGTGATTTGTATGCCCTACATCCATATAACAAATAAATTACCAAGATGAGTCCATTGGACCCTAACAAGTACTTCCCATCTGAACAAATATTTTTGAACAAATATTTTTAGTCTGTATAGTACCTGTTTCATTATACTCTTGCAATTATGTGTGTTCAAATATAATTTTTATAACGCTCAAAATTGAACCAAAGCCATCACACATGCTAGGCAAGTGTTAATGCTGCCAGTCTAAAATTTTAACCATACCAGTGATGATAGTAACAGTTATCGCTACTTAATTGTTTTTCTCGGATTTTGTTTGAGACAGAGCCTGTGGGTTGCCCAGGATAACCTGGAGCTCACTGTGTAACCCAGGCTGGTTCTGAACTTGCAATGTTTCTCCTTCTTACTCCTGAATGCTGGTATTGTAGACATCCCATCACACCTGGTTATACCCATTATAAATAAAAATAAAATGATCTTTGTCTGGGTAATGTAAGCTTTATTGATAACCTCCCACTATAGTACAACTCATAATAAGATTTAAGAGGTAATCAGCCTAGACCTTCACCATCCCAACAAAGTGATCATTGATGCCCCCCTCTTTATTTTCTTTTTTTAAATATGGTGTGTGTGTGTGTGTGTGTGTGTGTGTGTGTCAAGAGGACAACTCTGGGGAGTCAGTTTTCTCCTGCCACCTTATAGGATCTAGAAAATGAGCTCAGGTTATTGGACCTGTGCATGCACCTCTACTCACTGAGCTCTCTTGACAGCCCTTATGGATACATAAGCAGAAGGTTTCCAGAAAACCACCCTAGGGTCTCCAATCCACCCTAGGGACTACAATATCTGACCCCTAACTGCCTGCAGAGAAAGAGAGGCCAGCTCCCAGAGCCTGAATGTGTCCTCCAGACCCAGCATAAGGGAGCTGGGCATCTCTTCCCTGACCTACACCTTGATCCATCAGTTTCCTGGAAGTATTTCTCCTTTTCCCTCAGGCGTTCCTCTGTTGGGAAGCAGCTTCTTCCACTGCTCCAGTAACTTGACCTGTGCTTCTCAGGAAAGTTGGGCTCCCAGAGAGCTGGACTGGAACACCAGCTGAGAGACTTAGCAGCTGAAGTCTTGGGTTTTAATTACAATGACAGGGACTACTTAATAATCCTCCACATGGCACTTCCTGGGCCAGATGCTCGCCCAGATCTTCACAACAATTAACTCCTTGAATTCACTAAGCCCTCCAAAGAAGCTTCGGTTTACTGTTACTTGTGTGTACCATGAAGGACCCTGAGGCCCAGGCAGTCTAAACCACTGGTCTGAGGTTCTCCAGCACAGCTGGGGCAGGCTGCTTTATCTGGGTGTCTCAACCCTGTGCCCTGCTGCCTATCCAGGCTCATATTACTACACAGAAACATGCACCAGGGTGTAAATGAGTGTATACCAGAGAGTGGGCACTTTTGTTTTATGATCTTATGAATGAAAATTTGTGACACCCCTCCACATACATTTCCTGAGCCAGCAACAGGACTTTGCTTATGTGGTAATCCTACACACACACACACACACACACACACACACACACACACACACTCACATCCTGAGCCAGAAACAGGACTGAATTTATATTGCAAATGAATATTATTTTCTTTCTTAAAACAAAAAAGCCTCTTATCACCAAACAGAGAAAATCAATACCTTTCTCCCCCAGTTACAGGATGCTTGAGCTTAGTCTATTGGGAAATGTCAACAAAACACAAAAATGAAAAATAAGCACATAATAAAGATATGTGAAAAGTACAAAGGCAACAAACTAGCCCAGGATGGTTGTCTAGGAGGAAGAAGGGGGATGGTTGTCTAGGAGGAAGTAGAGGTAGGTTTGCAATGGCCCTTTACCTGGAAAGAGCTTGTGTGGGAAGAGCCAGGAGTCAGGACCCTGGAAGGATTTGTCTTTAAGTGATCCCAGAGTGGCCATTTGGAGTGGCCGTTTGGGCATTGGCTAGGGGGTGGCTGGGGAGCATACAGTGGGGTTTAAGTTCCAGTTCTGGGACTTGACTACCACTGTGTCTCAGTGATAGAGCAGGTTTCTAGGGTTCTGCTTTCTCACAGGTGCTCTTATGCTACTGTGCTGCAAGATCTGGGCCCCAACTTGACCTTGAACTTCTAGCTCAAGCCCGGTCTTCAGCTGGTGTTCTTACTGTTTCTGCTTGCAGAGGTCAGTCGCCTTGAGTGCTGAGGAGTCTCTCGGTGGACAGGAAAAGCTGGTACCTCGAAGGCTGAATCTACAGGGTCAGCGACTTTCTTATGGGGCTCATCCATCTATGCATCCTTTGCTGTGGCTTCTTTTCTAACTTCAATCAGAAATTGCTGCTGGGGCGGGGACGATGGCTCACTGGGTAAAAGCACATACTGTACAAGCATGAGGACCCACATTCTATCTTCAGCACTCATGTGAAAAGGGCTGTGCATGTCTGTAACCTCAGCGCTCATCTCAGGGAGGACAGGGTGGTGATGCCATCGGGGTTTGCTGGTTAGCCAGTCTACCAAAAAATGGTGATCTCCAGATACAGTGAGAGACCCTGTCTCAGGGAACAAGATAGGACAGCCATTATCCTCCTCTGGCCTCTTCACATACTTGCATACATACACACACACACACACACACACACACACACACACACACACACGCTGCTAAGCTGATGTGATGGTGACCAGCTACCCAGGAGGCTGAGACAGGAAGATTTCTTATACTAAATCTCTTAAGGAGGTTGGGGTGGGGCTGGTGGATTGCTCCTAATCCCAAATCCTGTGAAGGCAGGAGTACTGTCTCCTTTTGTCCTGATGTTTCCAGACCCAGTCACCCACCTGACACACTATGTGCTAGATGTGAGTTTTGACTCTCCTCTAAGATTCCACAGCATTTATTGCCCAGCATATTTTCTTTGTTTTGTTTTCCACTCTGTTCCCTACTATAAAACTCCATTTGGGAGGAAGGCTCTATCTCCAACTAGCAGAGCCCTGGGGCTAAAGCCTGCTTCTGTCTCTCACTGGCTGTTGGACCTCAGGCAAACAACTTCACCTGTCTGGACTCAGTTTCCTCAGCAAGTGACAATAAATAGAATTGGCCACAGAGGGCTCTTATGTGTATTTGAGTTCATATTCATAAAGCCCCTAGCTCTTCACTGACACCATGTAGGCCAGAGTTACACATGTAGAAAAGGAAGATAGCAACTGGTGAGTCCATTTATAGGGAAGATGGACTTTTCTGTAATTAAATACATTTATTTATGTATAGAGTTGTGCATATGCACATGTACTACCCATGTGTGTCACGCTGAGCACTTGTAAATCAGAGCTTGACTTGCTTGAGTTGTTTTTCTCCTTCCATCATGTAGGTCCTGGGTCAGGCTTGGCAACAAGAACCTTTACCCACTGAG